ACTTCCTCTCAATGTATTTATTCCCTAGGTATAATTTAAATACACTGACAAATTTACGTAAGATTCTCCGGAACCGTGGTTCCACTCTCAATTTTTGACGTAAATACGTCTATACGAAGGGTCATTCGGCAAAAAAACGTAACGAAGTTGTGTAAGATCCATACCAACAATGTGTAAATATGGCCCGAAAACAATGGTCAGCTTTTATATGAACTCCTTCGTGCATTGTTATGTTACCTAAGAAACTAATTGTTACGTCCTCTGTTTACTTTGCATTGTTGTGTTACATTACTGCCGTCAACAATCCGGTTTCGTTATTGCGGAAATAGCTAAGCTGTGAGTCGCTTGTAGAAGAAGTGCGTCGTGGAGTAGATAATTTTGTGCTGGTAAAAACGTTTTAGAATATCATAAGTACTTAACTTATATAAGAATTATTACATTATATTATGTTACTTTACACTCACCTACTTTCCTATCATTGTATTTATTGCTTAAATATAGTTTAAATACAGATACGTATTTACGTCAGATTATCCGGAACCGTGGTTCCACTGTCAAGTTTTTATATGCTCATTTGTTGCACTTTCTAATAGAAACGTGTTTAGTATTACTTTGAATTTTTCCGCCATTGTTAACGGGCAATTTTCTAATCCTGCTTGTGTTGGTGGTAATGTGTGGTTGATGGTGCTGTATGTTAATAGGATGTAAAGGTGACATGCATTTAGTATGTATTGTCTTACTCGAAACAGATTTTACATATATTTCTTTGGTTTTCAGAATACGTTGCGTATAGATCAAAAGAATGGTCGAGCTAGAAGGTGCCGTGTTGATAGGGTCAGGGGATTGTGACAAGTACTCAAAGATTAATATCATTCATCCAGAGGTAAGTTCTGCACAACATAGCATATACAGATTGTGATACCAATACCAAATCGTTCCAATGAATTACGCCAGGACATTGGAAATAGGATTTGACATTGGAAATAGGATTTGACCTTGAATTAAGCGAATGAGATGTTTGGGGGAGTAACTCATTATTAATGAACAACACATTTCTGTAAAGCCCATTTCAATAAAAGATCCACCAATTTCCAGTCTTCCAAGAGATTCATCTTCAAAATTTGTTGAGTCTTATTTACAGTTCACAGTCCAGATAACCACTCTTAGGTTCACGTATTTTGACGTAAATACGTCTATACGGAAGGGTCATTCGGCAAACAAGTGAAAGGAAAATGTGAAAGGAAAACGTGTAAATTCCGTATCAGGAATGTGTAAGTATGGACCGACAACAATGGTCAGCTTGCGTGCATTGTTATGTTACCTAAGAAACGTCATCTGTTTACTCCGCATTGTTGTGTTTCATTACTGCCGTCAACGATCCGCTTTCGTTATTATGGAAAGAGCTGAGCTGTGAGTCTCATTTTTAGCGTCGGCGATATAAATAATTCATGAAATGTTCTTAAAGAACAGACGATGGAAAAAAGTCCTGACAAAGAATAATTTTAAGGGCCTTACAACTAAAATGAGATTTTACTTACGCTAACGGGGGTTTTGTCGTACCGGGAGCCTCGACCATTCAAACTGGGATCTGTTGCTGCTGGTGGGAGTTTATCCCGTCAGGCAAGTTGTCCAAAGGAATTTGGTTGGTTGGATTTCTGGGGTTTGAACCCAGAAAGGGAGGGGCCGTTTCGGCTGAAGGCCTCTGCGGCATGGGGGGAAGATCACTTCAGCTGATGGCCTCCATGATCGGGGGGAAGGGTGGCGGGCCGTACCCCTATTAAGTTATACCCTGGCATTCGCCTTACAACTGAGGAAAAGCACGGAAAACCTCAGTCAGGGTAGCCGAGTAGTCTAACCACTCGTTGTGCTGACTTGGCCGTCTTTTGGGGACGGCCTCGGCTGGGCTGCTGAACATCGGTCGCCCTCGGTTGCCCGTGGGCGACCTCTGTCCGTTCTCCACTCGCGTGGTCGGTTTTCACACCACTCTCCACTCAACCTCTCTCGTTCACCTCCAGCTCATCTCTCCATTTTAGAATATCACAAGTACTTATCTTATATAAGGATTATTACATTACATTAGTTTACACTACATTCAGCTACCACAGAGACATCTTAAGCGTAACTAATTCAAGTTAAATAAGCAATGTCTTAATCAAATAGTATATGCAGACTGTGATACCAATACCAAAGCGTTCCAATGAATTACGCCAGGACATTGGAATTAGGATTTGAACTTGAATGAAAGCGAATTATATGTTTTGGGGGGTAAGTCATTATTAATGAACCAGTTCACTTACAACACATTTATGTAAAACCTATTTCAATAAAAGATCCACCAATTTCCAGTCTTCCATGAGATTCCTCTTCAAAATTTGTTGAGTCTTATTTACAATTCTCAGTCTAGATGACCACCATTAGGTCCACGTATTTTTTCTTGTTTGTTTTACAATACTTGCATTTTTATTCCTTCAAATTAAGAGTCACTACTTCATATCTTATATTATACACTGAGGAAAAGCAATACTTTGAAGTAACCAACTTCTGTGTGTATCATTTCAACAACAGAAAGTAACTATTTTCTTTATAAATTTACACTGAACAATTCTAGTTACAATATGATTGTTTTCTGGCAATATGCAATCTTGCAGAAATTGACCAACACTTGAGAGGTTCTTACTATCATCAGGGAGTTAAAGTATGTGTATCATTGTAGGTTTTATTAAACACTATTATTTTGAACTTTGCTGTATAAGTGAATTCATTTGCAATGCAGTATATTTTGAATTGTTTCAGTTTATTGTTGGTAGCTCCGAATCTTCATCGTTTGTCATCGACAGCGGTTTTGTTTCAAAAACTCAATGCATTTTTAGGAAGACAAATGGAACATGGACAGTGTGTGATAAAGTGAGCCATATGTCAACAACATTGTTAAATATACATATCATATAAGCAAATATAAGTTTTCAATTAATTTATTACAGTGTATGCCAACACCGAGGAGCCAATGACAGGCAATCACTGAAAATACATACATATACAATAAACAAACAAACAAAACTAAATATATAAATGAATATATATAATAGATCAATCAAACATTTCTTGTTTTGAATATTATAGCCAATTACAGTCAAATACAGAAATGATACACTTACTTAAGATTATAACAATCACTAGACCCTTTCCTGAATGGAGAAAGTGTTTTCAAGGGAGACACTGACTTCGCTGAACATGTCCAAAAATCTGCATGTTCACACCAGTCAACTTCTGCCATACCACATGGCACAACTTCCAAGGAGACAGCCATTTTAATATAAATAGTATATTAATTAATATTGATTTTGGTAGATTTTCTGCTTATCATAGAATTATTATGCACAAATATGAATAACTCATAAAAATTATTCTAAAAAATCTACTTTCAGAGTACGTGTGGAACATATGTGAACGGTGAGAAGCTGAAGAAAGATAGACCAACTACATTAAGAGATGGCGATGAGGTTGCATTTGGCACTGCTAATAATTTTAGGTACATTTTTTACACGAAAGATATCTCCACAAATCCTTTGAAGACAATAAGGGTGGATGGGGAAGTGTAAGTACATATTTCTTGAGCATACATTTTGACTTTTCACTCTTAAGACTTTGCCGTGCTTTTCACATGTCGACAGTTTATGAGGTAAACCATAGTGACTCCCATTCAATACTGTTTTTAAACTTTTCCCCCCCTCACCACTTATGTTTGAAAATGGTCTGCATATCCTAAGTGCGTAATAAACTTCAGGTTCCAATTATGTCTTAATATTTCAGTAGTTGAAATTATCACAGTGGGTAGGAAAGTATACTAAATTATAGCATTTCCATAATGGAATGTTGCTGTTTCAAATTTAAATATTTATTTGCTGAACGTGGAACGATTGATTGAAACCTATATTGAGGTCAAAGTCCTCACAGTAGTGAAGGTGTCAGTGTTCATCTTCTGGGTTGTAATACTGATGACATAAACAATTGTTTTTTGGTACATGCCTACTAGTCCAAATGGTGTTACAACCCAGAAGACTAGCATCAAAGATAAAACAAATTGTTACTTACAAATAAATATTTTTGATGACTTCAGTATGGACTCTGGTTTGTTATTCAGCATTACGTACAGACTGAAACTGGGCTGTTACCACAACTGATTAGCTACAAAAGGCAAAAATATATGCGCGGTGGAAAGGCTGTGACTCGGCATGGATGCCAAAAGATTTCCTTTTATTTATTTTACACAAATGCAGCGATTGTGAAATGTGCACTTGATACTGTCTTGTATATAAGTTGGTTGATAACGATAAACATTATTGGTATTCTTTGTAGTACTTTAGAAGAAGAGGGATTGCAGAAGCAGATGAAGGAAACGAAAACAAAGGAAAACCCAGAACAGCAAGAGATGATGGACCATCAGGAGAAATTAGACGCACAGGAAAAACTGCTACAAGTATTGTTTTGTTTATTCAGTTCTTGGTTACTTATTTAATGATGTTCACAGTAGCCCAGATTATATAGCACGAAATGGTAAAATGTGGAAGGAAGCAGTCCCAGTACATACTTGGAGGGACTTTGGAAAAGCGCAAAAATACTTCGGACAGGCTAGGCATTCTCCAGATTGAGATATGAACTGGGGACCTCCTTAATACAAAACAGCATTTTTATGAACTCAACTGCATGATTTAGAACACAGTTTTAAATTACTGTTGTTATATCGTAATATATTACAATATTTTATATATTATGCACTACAGTTGCTGAACTATATTTCATTGTAATCTTGGGAGGACAAAATATCATTTAATATGGAAGTATTCATAAGAGAGATTATTTACTTCATGTAATAAATATTTGCCTTATGCTGGGATAGGTCTGTTGATAAAGTGACCAAGGTTTGATTCCAAGTGGGGGAGTTTGTTTTATCATATTTGCCATCATGTGCACTACTCTTCTGGGGCTTACCTGACGTCCTATCCAGTAGGCAGTGGAAGCCTCTTTCCGTAGGGCAACGTGGCCAGAATGCGACACTGACCATCCACCTTCATTCATAGTTTAGGTTAAGAATGTTTGACGCTCATCCATAAATCTTCGTGGTATATTGCGTAAGAACAGTGATTAAACATTTTTTCCCTTCTAAAGTGATAGAAGGAAAAAACTTGCTTAACTTCTTTAATAAATGTTCCTTGTTTCATCCTCAGGAGGAAAAATTGGAGGAAATGAAAACTCTACTCAAAGAAAAACAAAGGACTCAAGAATTGTTGTGCAAAAAGTTACAGGAGAAGGAAGTACAAATGTTGCAAGATTTGGTAAGCTGTTTTTAATCTGGGGCATAAAAATTAATTTCAAAAGTAGATTTTAAGAGATGAGCAGATTCACTATTATCACAATATTTGTAACAATTATTACAGAAACGGCTTCAGGAAGAGAAGGATGAACAGACCCTAGACCGGCTGGAAGAACTTTGTAAAGAAGTTGCAGAGATTGAAGATGATATTCAAATTTTGCTAGAGAGAATGGAGGTCATGCAGAAAGACGAAATGGAAATAGAGATAGGTATGAGAGGTATACCGTATTAATAATCCTGTATTTATCACTCCTTAGTGCACTTTGACACACACTCACATTGGTATCAGCATTGACCATTCTTTTGAGATGTTCTAATATTAGTGTCGAATCCTGCAGTCAAAGTCCTTTGGTATGTTGCAGCCATTTCATTCAGTATGTTGAAGATTGAAGAAAGTTGCATGAAAAAAAAAGAAAACACTTGTCTCATTAATTTACCTTACAGAGTTTCGGAAAAAATAAAGTTTCCAAAGAGTGCTGTTGTGACGTAATACTGTAATTGGAATTTTTAATTACAGAACTCGCTAAGAAGAAGTTAGAATTAACTAATAAGTTGAAAGCAATGCAGGAGATAATTCAGAAAGTAAAAAGAGGTGCGTTTAATACTGAAGGAAAGAAGCAGTATCTTGAACAAGAACTGGATAAAATAAGGAAGGCCGAAAACGATGCACCAGAATCGTTCCTTAAAGCAAAGCAGGAGGTGCTAGATAAATTTGAAGAGCCGATAGAAACAGAATTTCAATGTAGTATCTGCCGTGAACTTCTTGTTATGGTAAGTTGCTTGACGGAAAGCCAGTACACATGTTTGAATCCAGGTTTTTAACTATAATCAACAAGCCGCATCATATAAACATCAATATATTTGTGCTAAAATTAATATATGCCTTGCTTATGACCATTCTCTTGAAGCATAAACAAGGCTCATGAAACCATCGAATAAATAAATGAAAAGATCTGTTTTAGGGATAAGAGGGTTTGGAAATGGATTCCACACTGAATTTCTTCTTATTTTCTTAACATTGTGAATTTTGAGGTTTGTTTAGTAAGAAATTTCTGATGCTGTGTTATACTTTTATTTATTACACTGACATAGACTTTTAAAAGGACGAAGGACAACGGACAAACACACTATTTGACTATGTAATTACCAGAGAAATTGAAACATCCTAGCGATGTACCACCTCTCTGATTCCCACTGAGAATAAATCGAAGCAGAAGTCTCTAGGCGCACGTTCTGGGCTGTATGATGGATGGGGACAAGACATTCCCAATGAACATACCGTAGGAGTTGCAGCGTGATGCTCGCTACATGGAGTGGGCCTTGTTTGGGGAGAAGGATAATTTTCTTTGTAAGCAAAGTAGGACATTTCCTCTGGAGGCCTTTCTTTGGGTTTTGTGAGATGTGCTTCTTGGTCTGCGTGTACTATTGCCCCCTGGGTCTAGGAACTCGAGGAATATGCCCCTGTATCTCCCAAAGTGTCCTCAGCAACACGTTCCAAGTAAACTGTGTGGCCTCGACCTTAATTATCATGGAAGATGTTCTTCCTCTCCGCTGATGCTGTCTTCAGTATTGGTATGAAGTGACATGTATTGCCAGTGACGATTTGACCACGAAATACTGGGGTATACTTGAAAGGAAGACACTTCCCATGTCACCAGTGAATCCAAAAACTGGGCCCTGGTAAATTCTCAGCAGGACCTGATGAGAGTGTATGTGATGAATGTATGTAGTAATTTGTAAATATGAAATTTAATTGAAATACAGTGTTACTGAACAGTTGGTCAAGAACTATATATCCTATCATCACTTAATAATATAATCTTTACAATATCAAATAATTTATTTTCACAGGCGACAATACTGAACTGCGGCCACACTTGCTGCCGCTCTTGCATTGTAAAATGGATGGAAGAGAAGAACAATTGTCCCATCTGTCGAACATCTATCACATCTCAATTTAGATCCAGTGTCATGGATAATATTATAAACTCATGGTTGGAAATTAAACGGTTGAGATGAAGAACCTGGGGCAAGAGGTCCTTGAAGAAAGGCAACGTATGAGTACCTATAGTCAGAAACATGCATTGTCTTAGATGTCTGGAAGATTTTAGTGAAATTTGGTTTTTCTCCTCCTGAGAAAAGATGTGGAATTGCTTCTAAAATTTTGTTAACATATTTGTTCCTTTGTATCCTACGGTAAGCTCAAATCAAGTGTTATGTATTAATACGGTATGTTCTAAAATAATTTAATTTAGAATGAAATGCTCTGGAATGCATATCTGGTATTTAATTCATTGTCTTTCCAATTTGAAACATAAGATGAAGAATAAAATATGAAGAACTTCAATAGCTGAGCAACTATCAGCTTTGCAAGGACTCAGCTTCATGGAGTGACTCAGAAGCTATAAGTGATTTAAAATAGAAAGTTAACAAATATTCCTGCAAAGTCAACAGTAACATTCATAACATAAAGGGAATACACAAAAGAATGGAGCGGTTTCAAAAGTCAATATAACATTTATTTCTCACCTTACACGGGCACAACATACAACGTCAGCGGCGGCGACTGTCCAAATTTATAATGCGTTAATTACAATCCTTCAATGAGTGCACCCTGGGTCACACGACATACATCCACACGGTAATCAAACTCATCCCAGACCCGGTGTAGCATGTCCGCTGTAATGGCCTGCAGTGCATGCGTTATCCGATCACGAAGTTCATGGATGGACGTGGGCAATGGTGGTACATAAACGCTGTCTTTAACGAACCCCCGAAGAAAGAAATCGCACGGTGTAAGATCTGGCGAACGGGGTGGCTAAGGGAGAAGGTTGTTGTCTCCATTTGCAGCAGCACGTCCGATCCAGAACTGTGGAAAAACACTATTGAGAACCACTCGTACATTCCTGTGAAAATGGGGGTAGGGGGAGCTCCGTCCAGTTGTAGAATGTAATCGTCATAATTGGTATTCAGTTGGGGTAACAACCAGCTTTCCAACATGTCCAAAAATGAGTCACCAGTCACACTTGCTTCAGCGAAGAAAAATGGGCCATGCACTTTCTCGCGGGACACCGCACAGAAAAACGTTGGTTTTTCTAGAGTCACGCTGGTGCTCTATCTGTGCATGTGGTTGCTCGGTTCCCCAGATACGGACATTGTGTCTGTTTACCTTGCCACTGATGTGCAATGTGGCTTCATCGGAGAAGATCGGTCTTTCTACGAACCCATCTTCCTCAATTTTCAACTGCATCTCGCAAAAGTCATGCCTTTTCACTTTGTCTGATGGTTTAAGGGCCTGCACCAATCGCATCTTGTACGGTTTAAAACATAGCCACTTCCACACCGTCATTTTTGGCATGCCCAATTCCCTTCTTCCTCTAGCCACTGACTTGCGGGGACTTCGCTGAAACGCCTCACGCAATCTTTCAATGTTGTCATCAGTCATACGAGGTCGACCAGGACTGTTGCCTTTACACAAGCATCCAGTTTCTACAAATTGTCGGTATCACCTGCTTATGTTATTCTTGTGTGGTGCGTCTTTTTGAAACCGTGCGCGAAAGTCACGCTGCACTGTAAACACAGATCTGGACACCTCAAAACGGAGCGCACAGAAAGCCTTCTCCTGCTGCAACGCCATCTTTGAAACTGGCCCCACGCGCACGCTGTAAGCATGAGAAGCGAACTGCTGGTAGCGCATGAGACACTTGGACAGTTGCCACCGCTGACGGTGGATGGTGTGCCCGTGTAAGGTGAGAAATATTTTTTTATAAACTTTTGAAACCGCACCATTCGTTTGTATATAACCTGTGTATAATGGCAAAATTTACCATTGTGAGACAGAACAAAATAAATTAAAATTATGTATTGATCTGCCCAGTGGAACTGTAACAAGAGCCAGGCAGTGCTCAAAATCAACAAGAAAACAACATATATCTTGAACCAAAATGTAAATTTAATGTACTTTCGTAACTACACACAATTGAACATTAACATGGTGGAATAAAACAGCGTATTTCCAGTCTAACATGAATTTTCCTCTGCATTCACCCTTAATAAAACTGCTGCTAATTTTCCTGCAGCAGAGCATGAGGAACCAGAGATTACCTCAATCATCTACAGTAACTACCACGCACAACAGTACTTAAACACCTTTATACAGTGGTCTTAAAAGACAGCCACATCATTTAAAATAAATATTTAAGCAAAAATAGATGAAACAAAATACGGGACAAAAATAAAATGGCAATGTTACATCGAAATATAATGGTGGACCACATATTTCTCTTTTAAATGTGCCAGCAGTACTGCAACTAATTATTATTAAAATGTCTTACAACTCGCAATAAATTTACATTCATTTCATTATGCATTTTCTAGGAAAATGTTGAGACTCTGAACACGGCACAGACGTTAATCCTTCTTCTTGCATTCGGCGCCTTTGGCCGGTGCTGGTGTAATAGCGACCTTTATACCATCTGCCAGCTGCACGTTTTGTGCTCCCGCCACCTCCTACTCCATCTCTGCCGAAAAGCCAAATTCATTCTCCCTAGGGGGTCTATCTTGTATATCCAACGTTGGTACAGAAAGACGAAGAAAATAATATCTGAAACAAAGGTCATTTGTATCATCAGATCAATATCTAGATCAATTTCCCTGTATTCAGGATGTGAAGACAGTATAACATGGACAGCTTCTGTAGAACAAGTCCTTACTATGATAACCTATTAGAAACCATCAAAATTAAAAAAAATCCCATCCTTCCACCATATGCATGCCATCATACGTGCAAAATGGAACCAATGATAAAATGTTCTACTACTGTCGAGCTTAATGGCTGATACAGACAATTAAAGACGCGTAAGAAAATACTCTTAAGATTTAACAATTTACATCTGAAGGATCGGAAAAACATAAATGAACGCACCATCTCTGATGCAACCCATTCTGTAAAGTGACGGCATTTTCATGACAAATGCAAGAATGTCGTCAATGAAGGTATTAAGGAACTTGTAAGACATCATACACCAAGGCAAATGTGCTACAGACTTCAGTTTGTAGTTGATGAAAAGTTGTGGTGTCATCATTATAAAACCTGAAACAAAATTACGAATACAATTTCGGGTAACATCAATACTGGAGTACCCACCTTTCACATTAACAAACAATAATTCTGATTCATAACTGGAGCAAGTAAAAATTTTCTAAACAGATAAAATTAACATCAACATGAAATTTTATATCAACTGACATACCTATTTTACAGAGAAAACACTGTATGAAATTACATAATAATTTGTGTTCAAATGTTTAAATAAAGTGGCTGATTACCAAATGTGAGAAGGAAGCCATAAGGCATGTTGAGAACGAAAGAATACCAACCACGGTGCTCCTGCTGGAAAAGGGAGTAGTCGGCATAGCCAGCCAGTAGAACGCAAGCATGTCATGCTCATTAGTACTCGACTCTACGTACGAGCCCTTATCTGAGAATCAGATCCTTGGAATAAATCCAAATATTCGAGCGTTGTAGTCAATACTGATGTCAACCACCTGAAGAATACCGATAAATTTATGTATTTTAGTTTCTAAATATGAATGATAGAAGAAGCATCGCTGCTGACTTTACATCTTCAGGAGATTGAATAATTCGGTGGAATATAGTCTTTCACGCAGTGCAGATTACAAAGAGTCAAATGTTACAAACGAATAAGAAAACTAGAATTTATCAAGTTCCACACGTGAAAGTCACAGTTTTTCCCAATGTACATTGCTCATTAATACAGAATTTAGAATGAAGGGAGAGATGAACAGGACAGATACATGTAAATGGCTCAAAAATTATCACTACAATACGTTTAAGAAAACGAAGTACTACAGAATCGTCTACATGACATCTGAATATTATGAAACACGTTTTACCTTCTGTATCTTCCAGACTTCTGTGCAAAGTCCTACAAAACAAGTGAGCTTATTCACTGTATTTGTGTCGCTGTCCAATACATACAGCAGTACAATTAAAGACTGAAACACGCTGAAGAATACTGATCGCACTGACAGGCCTTCCAATGACTTCTGGTTGTTCCAGAACTGAATATCTGTAACACGAATTTTACGCAATTAACAGGTGATGCAACCATAACTCCCTCAATAAGACTTATACTCCTCTTTCACTTTGTTTATACAAACGCGCACACTCATTCTCTCTTCCTAGTCCAACCCCTTCCCACTTCTACATGTCTCATCACTGCAGAAGTACACACACATTCAAATTCCTCTCACGCTTCTAAGAGTTCGGCTACGTACCATTCTTGAATGCCAGCAGTTCAAACACGGAATGCATTATGGATACTAGAATAGTAAAGGTACAATTTGGCTGCACGCGACAGAGACAAGCGACCGAGGCAGGCGACAGAGTTACGAGACCGAGACTGGTCGCTTCCTGTCTGCTCTCTGTACAATCGTATGAAGTACAATTACGAGCGCGAGACA